TATCACAGCGAGATTTCTGGGTTCTGAGCAGCGTGTAAGTTCACTATCACAGCGAGATTTCTGGGTTCTGAGCAGCGTGTAAGTTCACTATCACAGCGAGATTTCTGGGTTCTGGGCAGCGTGTAAGTTCACTATCACAGCGAGATTTCTGGGTTCTGGGCAGCGTGTAAGTTCACTATCACAAGGAATTATAGATGATGAAAGTACAGCGGGGCCAGCTGGGATCCAACCCGGTGTTCACAATCTGAGGGGGGAAAAAAAGGTCTTGAATTGGGAACTCCAGGTCTAGTTGATGAGAGCGCTACACATCTGTGGGCGTGAAATGCTTGGAAACATTTAGGACAGAGTGGCGAGTCGTGTGTTTGAATCGACTGGCCTTGGAATATAAGACATATATATTTCTACAGTTTTGTTAGGGACATCATTTCCTCTGTCAAAAAATCTTGGCTGAAACACTGATGTTTCTGACCAGTTTTCGACCTCAATCGTCCGTGATGGAGTGGTCCAGTAACAAGCCGGCTCTTGAGTTCCAACAAATCAGTTTCGTCCTGGCCATCCACTTCTTCAGTATTCGTGCATTTACTTCTGCTACATTGTTTGTTGACGTCACCATCAGTATCATGGGCTGTAGTGTCATAAACACGTGTGACCTTTTTTTAATTATGACCTATTACACATGTGTACAGAGCCTCATTCATATTCTGAGATGAGCCATGTTTGACATGATTCAAAGTTCCTAAAATGATATGCTCTAACATGTGTCACGATAACCTCACATGGGGATTACACCCCCTCCCTCCACAAAAGTACAAATCAATGGAAAAAAAATATTAAAAAATTCAATGAAAAACATAATTGTGTGCCCCGAGCTACTTGAAATGTGTGTGTGTTTTCCGGCTTTTTCCACACTTCACACATGACAAGGTTAAAAAAGATTGGTGTTGATCTTTGATATAACTCCACAGTCTATCTACAGTTTGGGTCATTTCTACTCAAACTCACCTGTACAGTCTTCTTTATCCTCTGGGAAGGTCCAGGATATTCGTTGGAGTAAATGTCCGTAAAAAACAAGGAATTGATGAGAGTGGACTTCCCCAAACCAGACTCACCTAACATATTCATGAGGACCAATAAGATCATTAAACAGTTTTAAAAACGTGGAAAGTCTACATATTATCAGAAGAAACAATAACACAGAAATCGTTAACATGTTTACGTCTTATAAGCAGATCAGTAAAACTTGAAACGAAAAAAACATTATATAAACAACAACTCATTTCAGGACCCCAAAGTGCTGATGGTTTGTAAACAGAAATAAGTTGTTTTTTTTTAATAAACTGATAACAAACATCAGAATTGGTTTCTAGGTAACACACTAACATATTTCACATTCTTTAGTAGCATTGTTGTAGAGTTTTAGTGTTAGGATCCTGATTCACGAGTTATGTGTAGCATTGTCGTAGAGTTTTAGCTATTGTTAGGATCCTGATTCACCAGTTACGTGTAGAATTGTCGTCGAGTTTGTTTGTTTGTTTTGAATTTCGCGCAAAGCTACACGAGGACTTTCTGCCCTTAGATTGCGAGTCGAGCGCCCCCTAACCACCTGGCCATGCCGGGGCCCATCGTACAGTTTTAGTCTGTTTTTTATATTCTGAATTATATCATTATGAAGCTGTATTTGTTACTTATCTATAATTATAATTAAAATACAGTATATTATAAATTTAAATGCCGAAAACCGGTGAAGGAATGAAACCAATAGGCCTAGTATTAGTGATAAAAAATCACACTAAAAAGGTTTATTTCCAAGTTCCTCTTAATTAGTTCATTAAATTTCCAAATCATATACGTGTAAACACAGCACTTTAAACCTTTAAATCGGTCAGAGGAAAAAAAACAAAATGGCTACTTCAAAAATGTCAACAAACTTAACACTAAAATCCATTAACTTGTGAAAAATACGATATTCTGTGACAAAAAGCAGCTTTTATTTGTAGTGCCCATAATTATCCAGTTCAGGATCGGGTTTCACTTTCAGTCCTGAGAAAATGCGATACTGTGGGACACGTGGGTGAGGCCCTCATCTGTGATGTAGTTTTGTTTTGGAAACCCGTTATTCAGTATCAACCTAACATAATCTTTTATCGGTTACCATGACAGCAGTACGATAGAGCTGGTAAACAAGTAATAATAATGAATTTTTAAAAATTGAAACATATTTAACTAGCAAAAACTTCCGAAGGGCTCGCCCAATTAGCGATGTTATTATATATATATATATATATATATGTGTGTGCTACCGCGGTGTTCTGTTCCAAGAGTAAATAAAACCAAAATTAAGAGTAACAATTATTTACATTTTTTTTTTTTGCTTTTCAAGTTCATATGTCACGCTGCCTTGTAGCCTACAGAGTGCATAATTTTTCTTGTGATTCATAGCATGCGCACGTTTTTTACTGACGTCACGCTAAGCCTCTCTTATGTGACGTCATTTTAGTGTCTACTGACTGACTGACTCACGGACAGACAACACACTGCTGCGTACTATTGCGAGTGGTTAAAACAGGTGACCTTAGACCCCCCTTTCGGGAAAATTAAAACAGGTCCTGAGCTAACAGATAATAATGTCCCCCAAAAACAACCATTAAACAAAGCTCGTTTAAAGTATCGAAATGAAGGCTCTTTTTATCATTTTTTAAACCTATTTAAATAAAAATATAACCTAGTATAGAAGTAGGTTCAGTGTCATAACGGTGTTACAGTATGGAAGTAACAAAAAAACCTCACGTGTCTGTTTAATGAGGATCTTAACGTAATCTCACCAGTTCCTACTGTATATATATATATAAAGCACTTCATTCCCGAACGTGCGTTTAACTGCCACGAAATACTACACCTCACGCAGCTAGCTGCTTTCGTCTTCTTCCAACCACGACGGCTTAAAAAACATTAAATGTTTGTACATCCTCCGGAATTGGAGTGTTTAAAATCTTGGTGTATTGCAGAATTTTTAACGTTAAAAGTATAATGACATTTCCCGGAGTTAAATCGCTAAGAAAATCTTCCGAACGTGAATCAGACACGGAAAGAAATAGGAATATATATATATATATATATATATAAAAGGTCATGGACAAAACAAGAAGTTTTGTTGTTGTTGTTGTTGTTTTTTCTAGAACAAGAACCGAATCCCTACCGCACTTTTAAATGTAAATAATAATTTAAAAAAGTCCGAAATTACGATACAACCGTCCGCCAATATCAGACGATATGATTGTTGTTGCCGAGGGAGATTAAGTGACACAGAACACGTGTTTGTAAGGTCAGGACCGACGAATCACGGAAACAAGGTTTTTCTTTTACAAATTTCCTCAATCAGATTTTGGTTAGCGAACCTGAAAAATCAGAGTTCGTGACCCGTTCCCGTTTATAAATCTCACTGTTTGGTCAGAGAAGAGTAGCCCCAAGAGTTGGCGGTGGGTGCTGTTGAGCTATCGGTTCGAAATTAAGAGCATCTAGGCGCATATAGTCATTCTGTAGTTCTGCTCAAATTTTTGAAACAAACAATCTGATGTTTGTCTGGTTGTATAATTATGAAACAAACAATCTGATGTTTGTCTGGTTGTATAATTATGAAACAAACAATCTGATGTTTGTCTGGTTGCATTATTAACTCCATTATACACATTAACCCGATCTTACACAATAATTTTAGAAATAAATAATTCTTACGATTAATTCTGTTCTAGATCTTGTAAGATCAAAATTTTACATCTTTTCTAAAGCTTCTATTTGACGAAGTAATCCATTTTGGCTAATGACAAATACCTTATGATCTACAATATTCACCACTCTTACACTTCAAGAGTATACCCTCCACCCCTTTTATGGTAAGCAACTTCACAATTACAATTGATCGACTTATCGTTTCTTGTTGAGGAAAAAGTGGATGTTATGGAAGTTTAAAAATGGAAAAACCTAAAGTACCGACAGTGTAAGAGTGAATATTATTGGTTGTATCAAAGTTTGAACAATATTTCAGAGATTTTTTCTTTCCGTGCACCGAGTCTTGCCATTTGTTTTGTAATTTTTAGTTATCTTTTGTGTGAGTACAAGTGCCTTGACTCGACATAATTGTTACAACATGAAGCACTAGAGAACATTTGTTACGGTTTAGCCTGACAAAATTTGAGGCAGCATAACAGTGACGTCATGACAACTGGCCTGGAGCCCGTATAGCCTTGTTTTGTTTTTTTCTCAGCGGCTGTCTTCGGAACAATGTTCTACACGTGGTCTAAGGTAAGCCATGCACAAATGAAGCGCACCAGGTGGCCACATTAGATACAATCAAGTCCCAGTTTATAATCTGTGGAAAGTTCACCACCCCCCAAGTGGGCCACTGAAGTATCCGGAACCAACATGATTGGTCCTAGCGATAATGACCACTTAAACTGAAATATACACTCGTGTGAAATGAAGCCACATCTTTAACAGAGTGAAGTATTGTTACATCACAGAGAAAGATGTTCATTCATATCTCTCCTATACGAATCTAAACCATTATTTGACAAAAGTCCGCGTATTTTTGACCGCTCATAACTGGCTAACCGCTGGACTGGTTGTCACCAAACTTGGCATGTACCCTTAGGAAGTCGGCGATTGGATCCGATCCTCTGTATAACCGAAACTGACCGGTCTAATTCGATTTGATGATGAAACCGCTAGTATATTTAATTCACGCCTGTACTAATTAGGAAGTAGTCCAAATCTTCAAACGTCTTTATAAAGACTGGGGATCATTGGGTCAGCTGTGAAAGGGCCACTGGATTCTTTTGTTTCTGTTACTGAATTAAATCAGACTGTAGAAACGTTGTGGCTGATGAAGTCAGTCTCGTCGTTTTCGAGATGATCTCTTTGAGTTTTTCACACACACACACACACACACACATAACCACCCCCGCCTTATCAAATCAGAACGACATATTCCCACAGGAATATATATACAAGAACGGGTTCCTATTACGGATGTGAAAACATCAAAAACGCTCAATTACCACGAAAAAAAAACAAAAACACACGCTACAAAAGATGTTCTGCACCAGAAGCCAAACTTGACTCTGACGAAATTGAATTACAGTTCTTGGAAATATTACAGACTAAACACTTTACACCTCGGTGGTGGAGGAGTCACAGTTTTTGTAAGAGGACTTTCGTCGGATGTAAAATTCAACTGTACATATATATATACCTGGACGATAATTCAGCCTTCCGTCTACGACAGCATGGTCCTGTTATCGATTTGTATACACTTCTAATTCTTAGAATTCCAAAAATTATGTTAATTAATTCTTACGTATGAATATGTATTATACATTAAGAAACAGGGTTCGAAGCTCGCGTTAATTTGTTTTGACGAAATGTCATCGTTCGGATCAGACGTTTCCAGGTTCGTGGCTAACTAGTATTACCGTAGACTTTGGTTTTATTTGTTTTGAAGTTCGCGCAAAGCTACACAAGGGCTATCTGTGCTAGTCGTCCCTAATTTAGCAGTGATAGACAAGAGGGAACACCAACCACTGCCAACCTTGGGCTACTCTTTTACTAACATTATGACTCAAATATCTTCTGTCGTTTGGACACCAAAACTAATCCCCTGAATCATGATTGGTTGGGGGAAAGGTAGCTCAAACTGTTAAAGGTATTGAAATTGACCCAGAAGCTCGAAGAACGTATTCTTCCTCTTTAGGCTGTTTGGATTGACATGACCCGTGGTTAGGGCGCTCGACTCGCAATCTGCGGTCGCGGGTTCGAATCCTCGTCACCGAACATGCTTGCCCTTTCAGCCGTGGGGCCATAATTATTGATGAAATAACAATATGAAAGTCGTACTTAAATCCAAATATAGTATATAGGAGACTAGGCGTGGTCAAGTGTTAGCGTTCTAGACTGAATCCGAGACTCTACAGCTTGCGCTCTGTTGTCGCACTCTACACTTTGAGGTCGTGGGTGCGTTATTAAAGTGACAGTCAAATCCTACTATTCGATTAGTGTAGCCCAAGAGTTGTTGATGGGCACTTTCGGCCCAAAATGAGGGATAGTAATATGCAGGTAGCCCTCATGTAGCTTTGTGGAAACGTCGAGAACAAACTAACAAAGTATTACTGACACTGAATAGTTGACATTCCAGGTCCGATTTCCTCTGTTGTTAAGTGGAAAATATCTCGTTGTTTATTTCCTTAAACCCTTGTAAAACCTCACTCAGTATTTCCATAACCGGTTTCCTGGGTTTATTGTATATAGTGTCAGACCATTAGAATAAGCCACACTGTCTGTCTCTCACGTTGTTGTTGGTTTTTATATTGAAACTGCGAACCAATTTTTGTCTGTGTGTGTGTGTTAGCAGGCCAGTTTGCAACTTCAGCTTTTCGATCACTGTTATAATCACAGCTGAAGTTTTAACTCTTAAAACATAAGTTTAGATGACGCAATGTGTTTTAACTCTTCTTATAACTCGTGTCTTCGTGATGATCCTTTGTTAGATTTCAAGTTTTATTTTCGTATTCAGTTTACTAGTTCTATCACAGACTCCTTTACTTACTGAAACCGAAAACTTTTATACAAAATATGCGGACGCACTTGTGCTAAATAAAAGTTTAAAATGTTTGACTGAAATTTGTCTTTACAGAAAAAAAAAAACACCGAAAAAAATAATCGGGCTAAATAAGAGGACGGCAAGTTAGTCTTAACTGTTGTTCACTATTATATTCAATACTATCCCTTGTTAAGCCTAACTACTCTCTAACTTTTCAATTGTTAGGCCTAATGCAAACGATTTTGGTTCGTGCCTTCTGGAGGAGGGTAACGGTAGGTGAAATTCGGGTAAAAATGCAATAAATATATTTTCTATTGAAATACACATACTTCAGTTTTAATTAATTTTATTTGATGAATTATACCGTTGATTTTCATGGCGGAAAAACTTGTATATGACCCCGAATTTAAATTTATTTAGTTCGGCCATAAACAAAACGGTCTTAAATGTAATTAAACTGTCCATGGTGCTGGTCAAGCTGTCCTCTGTTTTGTCACAAGATTAATGTTTCTCTCCTGTACTTTACTTTCAATTTTCATTAAAAACGTGCCCCTCCCCAGTAGCACAGCGGTATGTCTGCGGATAGAACGCTAGAATCCGGGTTTCGATACCCGTGGCGGGCAGAGCACAGATAGCCCATTGTGTAGCTTTGTGCTTAACTTCAAAAGCAACAACAACAATTAAAAAAATGTAGACATCTACAACTTCACAAAATACTGCAATTAAACTAAAATTAAAATTTATCTCATCATCTGTAACCATAATAACGTATTTAATTTTTTAAACTTACCGACCACTAGTATAGTGAAATCAAAACCTCGTTTTACTGCTTTCCTATACACCTGATTGGGCAGGTTGGCAAAACCTATGTAGTCTTCCATGTCTTTTGAGGAGACCGACTCCAACTCTTTCTCACGAAACTTCTCTTTCTCTCTCTCTTTCTCCCTACTTAAAACACCATCTTTTGCGTTATTTGTCAGCAATGATGAAGAATACGGCGTACTGACCGTCGATGTAACGTTGGACGTAGCCGTGCTGGTGGCGGAGGTCCCTCCATCTGGGCGGAAGAAGAGCTCACGCTTTGTCGACAGCTAGAATTTTATCAAATTATAATAATAAACCTTATTAACTGGTTACTAATATAACTAAACAGACAGATAGCTCGTCAGATCTAGAATGTATATTAACGGCATCTACAGTGTAAAGTTTACGTTTTGACCTTATCTAATTGTACGATTTTCCAAAAACTTAAAGACACAGAGACTGAAATCTACTTTTTTCAAGTTACGTTTGGAACACCTCATCATCGTTCCCGTTAAATTCAACAAGCAGGGGGCTACAGTTTGGAAGTAAGTTATCCTCTTACGTTAGATTACTACAATTACACTATAAAAGTGTACATTTTTTTTACTGCTTCATTTTCACTAACCGACATTGAGCTCGCATTTCTTAACCATCCCTTTAGGTGGAGAAAAAAAGGTTAGCTGTAGTAGTACTCAAAATGTCTGTTGAATTAGTTTGTGTGCCTTTGAACAGTACAGGTGCTGCACTCCATAAGCCACCCAAAAGGAAACTATTGGTTGTAAAATCGTTAGGTTGAAACCGCCATACACCATTTTGCTTTCGAAAGGAAGTTATTATGATTTACTAAGTGACAACTACGGTTACCGATTATCAACATAGTGACGACTACGGTTACTGATTATCAACTCAGTGACGACTACGGTTACTGATTAT